ATTGCCATAACTGATGATAGATACAGGAGGCCCATCCTACTGTGGGCTTGCCTAAGTAAGATGGCCTTGGCTACATAAGAAAGCTGTCCGAGGAGCTAGAGAGATGGCTCAGTGGTTAAGAGCACTGACTGCTCTTGCAGAGGACCTGGGTCTAGTTCCCAACACTCACATGATGTCACACGGCTGTCACTCCAATTCCAGGGAATCCAGTGCTGTCTTCTGACCTCCACAGACACAGAGCATGCAAGTAGTGCATAGAAATTCAAACAAAACACATGCATAAAATTAAATAAATTAAAAAAAAACACAAACAAACAAAAAACCAAGAGTGGCTAGTGCTGAGGCCTGCCCTAGCTTGGGAGCAGACAGATTTAGGACAGTGACTGCAGAGGAGTCAGAACAGTAAAGGAGGAGCAGTGAGGAGGAAGGGCTGTGCTCTCACCTGCCGTCCTCCCCTGCTGAGAGACTAAGGGTCCTCCCACATCTTGTTCCCCCCCCCCCCCAGATTATTTTGAAGTGAAACAGTGTTTACAGATGGCAGTTGGTTCCTGAAAAGAAATGTGAATATATATATTACAAAATATCAAGATACATTGTATATAGTAAGGGGTAAGTTTACATCTGTGTAGAACTTGCTCTCAGTAAAAACTATCACTGTAGCACAAGGTCAGAAAGTTTAAAACACTTTTTGTAAGGCAAGTGAAAGTAAAGTTGTAGTACTATCTTGACTTTGAAGTAGTATATTTTATTCGTTTATGTTTAAGTACATGTGTAGGGGAAGGTATGTGCACGTGAGTGCAGTAGCCCATGGAGACCAGAAGAGGGCATCAGACCTGCCGGAGCTGGAGTCACAGGGGGGTGTGAGGCAGACCTGCCCGAGCTGGAGTCACGGGGTGGGGGGGTGGGGGTGTGGGGGTGTGTGTGTGAGGCAGACCTGCCCGAGCTGGAGTCACAGGGGGGTGTGAGGCAGCTGATGTGAATGCTGGGAACTGAACTCAGGTCTAAAGAGTGCTTGGTGTACCCAACCCTCAGTCATCTCTCCAGTCCCTGAGATGGTGTACGTTCATCATTTCACAGGAGCTGGAAACAGAGTGGGGGAGGGAGCGGGAGGACAAAACCCAGAAAGGAATGAATGTCACTCAGTTTGAGTAAGGATCAGATTACTCAAGGGCATACATACCTTCTTACAGATTTGAGGAAAGTGATTTTTAAAAAAGTGTTAGATATTTTGTGGCAAATGAATTTATGAATTTAGACTGTCGACTGCCAATTTTTTTTTAAATTAATTTTTAAGGTTTCATTACAGAATAATGGGTTCATCTTCTTACGTAGGAGTCACTTTTCTTTACCCTCCCCCACTGCCCTCTCCTGGCATGTGCCCGTCCTCCTGCTAGGTGGCACCTGCATTGCATGTATCCACTGTTCTGTGTCCTGCCTCCCCTTGGCCACCGTTTTGTTTTTAATCTATCTGTGGATAGCAGATGTCTGAGAATTGTTTTTTAGTTTCATACCCTGAAAAAGGATTCCTTGTTCTGATGATACAGTTCCCAGAGTGAATAAATGAAGAATTACAGTCAGTGTAATTTCTCCTTAATTTTGGATAGAAGTTAGTTACTTTCATTAAAAGAAACCCCACAAAGTTTAGGTTAGTTTCCTAGGAGAATAAAATGAAATGCTCAAGATATACCAGAGTTGTAAAAATGAACCAACCTAGGCTCCGCCGCTTCAGTTCCCCCCTCCCCCAACACACACACACACACACACACACACACACACACACACACACACACACACACACCGAGGCGGCCCTGTAGCACTTGGCTGGCAGTGTGTTTGGCAGTATGCTGTTGTTTTGGTATTTTGAAGGGTTTCTCCGTGTGAAGTGGCATTTCTATTGATTTCTGCCCATCCCCTCCCCCTAGATTTCACCACCCTATCCTCAGCCCTCTGGAGAGCAGTTTCCAGCTGGAAGTGGGCGTGCTGAGTCATCTCCTCAAGGCGCAGGCTCAGATCTCGGAGTGGAAGTTCCTCCCTTCCCTGGTTACCTTGCACAACGCTCACACGAAGCTCCAGAGCTGGGGCCAGACCTTTGAGAAGCAGCGGGAGACCAAGAAGCATCTGTTTGGAGGGCAGTCCCAGAAGGCTGTGCAGCCGCCACACCTCTTCCTCTGGCTCATGAAACTCAAGACCATGCTCTTGGCCAAGTTTAGCTTTTACTTCCACGAGGCGCTGAGCCGACAGACGACCGCTTCAGAAATGAAAGCGCTGACTGCCAAGGCGAACCCGGACCTCTTTGGAAAGATCTCCAGTTTTATCAGGAAATATGACGCTGCCAACGTGTCCTTAATTTTTGACAACCGGGGCTCCGAGAGCTTTCAGGGTCATGGCTACCACCACCCACATTCCTACCGAGAGGCCCCTAAGGGAGTGGACCAGTACCCAGCCGTGGTGTCTCTGCCCAGCGACAGGCCGGTCATGCACTGGCCCAATGTTATCATGATCATGACGGACCGAGCATCCGACCTGAACAGCTTGGAGAAAGTGGTCCACTTCTATGATGACAAAGTCCAGAGCACCTACTTCCTCACCCGCCCGGAACCCCACTTCACCATCGTCATCATTTTTGAGTCAAAGAAATCTGAGAGAGACTCCCATTTCATTTCCTTCCTCAACGAGCTATCGCTTGCCCTTAAGAACCCCAAAGTGTTCGCAAGTCTGAAGCCTGGATCCAAAGGTTAGCCGGAGCTCGCCCAAGGACTTCCAAGACTGGACACACTGTTCTCAGTTGAGTAGTTTGTGATTTGAATTTATGTTAGCTCATGCTTCTGTCAGAGCCGAGCTACAGACAGAGCCTCCCTGATCATGTCACACAGTTAATAAGCAATTAAGACCAAGGACGGCGTCTCCAAAGAGTAGTCTAGAAGAACCATGGTGACTGAATAAATCACCATGGTACAGCGAAGGAGTAGCAACATCTTCTGATTTCCCTGTGTTTCATGTTGATTGAGTATTTATTGGTCTTTCATTTATCTTTCCAGATTTTTGTTGTTGTTGTTACTACTCTGACCATTGTGCCCGGAAGCACTTGCTAACATCCTCTCTCTCTCTCTGTCCCTGAGGAGCAGCGGGGGAGAAGATACCAGATGGGATTGTTTTCAGTTTCACAAACACGAGTACTGACTAGTTTTACTAATTATCTAATTAGTATTATACTGCGATTGGAATCTTGGTGAGAAACTTCTATCAGGTTGTGAAGTGGGAGATGACAGATTGGGCCTTACAGGAGTCTAACCAGTCACAGGTCCTTTTCAGGTGACCTCCAGCTCCACCTGCATCAGTTTTTACCTTTAAAGGGTTTGGTAGTCCACTGTCCTAAGTCAACCCAAGCCATCTTCAGGGTCTTATTGTTGCCGGCTGGATATCACTTCTCTGCTGAGCTGGGTTTCCATCTGGTTCCACGGTCCGTTCTTCTCAGGTTTAGAAAGCACGCAGCCGTGTGTTTGTAACCGTGTCTTAGTTTCTCACACAGCACAGTTTATGAAATCAAAATGACAGACTTAATGCGTGCTCACAGGAAAGCGGATGGAAAGAAACCACCAGAAAGAATTGAGCTGTTACTGGTGTTCTTCCTTTGGAGCGCGTGTAAACATTCTGGTCAGATCCACGCTTTCCTTGTGGTTGTTTGGATCTGTCTGCTGCGTGTCCACAGAGCACAAGGCTCAGGCAGGGCCGTGAAGCCCTCCCAGGCCTCCTGGTCAAGTGTGGGCTACCTGTACAAGAATCCACCTGCCAGTTATCTGCATCTCCCCACTTTCATATAAACTTGTCTTTAAACAGAGGGTAGTGATTTCCTCTGCATTTTCTCCTGTTTCTATTCAAATATGAACAAATTTTATAATATTGACCTCACATTAAAAACATTGAAAACATTTGGAATTAAAAACCAAACCATTTTTCTTCTTTTTGTGTTTTGTTGAGAAACTGAAAAATAATCCTTGGTATCTACTGTTTTTTGTTTTTTTTTTTTTTCCTGACTAAAACCACCATTAGCCTTAATGATGTGGCTCCCCAGGTACCTAAAAGAATCTATAGGCTTCAGTAGACCATAGAGGGATGTATAGAAAACATATAGAAATATATCTTACCTAAAATGGTCAAATATACACATATTTGAATTGTATATTTATTTTTAAACAAATTTTGAGTAATCAAAGAGGTATTTACAAAGAACAGGTAGCAGATGTGACTATGAAGAAAATCTGTGGCAACATAAACTCGTAAGTTCCTATGCACTGTCAGTATTGGAGGAACCTTGAAGATTAGTGCTGACTCCTTAATCGTTCTCAAGCTCCTCAATAAAGTTTTATATATATATATTACAGATATATAATTTTTTTCTTTTTTTTTATAATTTATTTTTCCTCAAATCGTAATTCATTCACACAGGGGTTATAAACACAGAAAGGCAGGATGTGGGGAAGGGAATGCCACTGGAGTGTGGGTGTTCAGGGGGAATACAGATATCATCAGAACCGGGTATCGGCTGGGTGAAGGTTCAGGGGACAAGTCACTATGACTCTGCCTATGACTCGCTTGTCCTTATCTAAGTTGGTATTGTCTGCCCAGGCTACCTATTTACAGGGTCTATGACTACTCAGGTTTGTAAATTTCCACAAAAGCTGCCTGTTTACATTAGCTTATAGCCATCTGTTTCAATGTTTTTCCACTGAGACCCAAGACTTGGTGTTAGTATACATGTATGACAGGCCTATTGCTGATTTTAGGCCTATGGCTGATTTTAGGCCTTCAGTGTGTAAGCAGGGCTGCCCCTGACATCTCCCTTCTCTAAGTATAGAAGGGCTGTGGCAATTCTAAACTTGTGAAGGCTGGGATAGAGGCCTGACCTCCAGTATTTGAAGGGGACCTTGTAATGGCTCCAGTTCCCCTGTCGTTGTCCAGTGAGGCATGAGGGCCATACCCATCCCGATGTCTTTTTTCTGGAGAGGGGATACTTTTGACATCAACCCCTATGCAGTCAGGCTTGTCCCTCAGGGAACCCAGAGAGATATTTTTATCTTTTATTTATATTCCCTTGCAGTGCTTAGCCTTGCAGCCTAAGCAAGAATTCAGATCGCCTGACAGAGGGGGTTCTGGGTGGCCCCTCTCTGCTTAGTCTAGGGGCAGAAGTCCCCCCTTTCAGGTTGGGTGGAGATGGGTTTTGGAAACACCCTGTATAAAGTAACAACCTCATCTTGAGGCTCGTGGTCCTCCATAGCTAACTTATGATGATGTAGGCTTTGCTATCAAATTATTTATCTGTTGTATCACAGAGTTAGTCTGCCTATTTGAAAGCCAGGGACCAGCAGAAAAAAGCAAAAAAAAAAAAAAAAACCCAAATAATGGTCCCAAGATGGGAGGAAATAGGGTTGACAACCTTGGAGAGGCTGAAAACCAATTCTTGTACCAGCCTTCATCTGTCTCTTTCTCTCTCTGTATAATTTTTTTCTGATGAAGCAAATTGTATTGTATATGAATGTTTGTGGGGTTCTTCTCCGAGGGCCTCCTGAAACTGGAGGGCTGGGTTGTGGGGCCTCCATATGGCCCCACAACACGTTGTTACATGTAGACTCAGGTGCAGGGGCTGGACAACTACGTCTCAGCACAGAGGGTAGGCATCCTCGCATGGGTACAGGAGAAGCCAAGCTGAGCTCCTCATTTCTTGGATACAGACTTGTTAGGTTTGACAGGGGCTCTGGTCCTGAGGGCTCACTGCCTCCTCCTCCTCTGCTTCTTCTAGGTTATTTTTTCTTCTTGGCCAGGCTTGTCTGCTTCTGTGGAGCCAGCCTTTTGACTTGTTTGACAGCTATCTCTTCTAGTTTTACATCCCACATGTCCCTCCTCCTCTTTCTCTTCTTCCTCCTCTTCCTTTTCTTCCTCTTTCTCGCCAGGTAGGTCTGAAGTCTTGTGACATTCCTAGCTACTGAGGAGCCCAGGTCCGGATCCAGAAAGCAGCTAGAAAATCATCAGAGGTGAGACTCCACATAGATCGTGGTGACCATGGGCAGGATACAGGCCTTCAGGGAAGCAGTGGTGACTTAAATACACAAATATAGGACACTCACATTTTGGTTCAAGTCAAGCAAAGTGACTTTTATTGGGATTTGCTCCCTGGATGCAAGGCTGAGATGTGCACTGCCTGCTTTGCTGAGTGGAAATGTGGACATTAACCGTGCTGCCTGATTTGACATTTATTTCTAAACCACAACCTGTTGAGTTCTGGGTAACTGGAAGTGCAGCCAGCTCCCTTAAACGTGTTGTAGTTTTAAGGTGCTGCTTGTATAGCGGATGTTGCATGACATTTGATCAGGTTGTGAATCCCTAGACTGTGAACTGGAAAAATCTTGGGGAGCGGCTCAGCCCTCGCACACACCTTTAGCTCAAGAGCTTTCAGTAAACGGGATTAAATAAAGTCAACAATAGGTCAAGAGGCAGAGAAGCGACCAGTTGACAGGGAGTGAACATCAGAAAACATAAGAAAGAGAAAGGAGGGTCTTTGTGTTGAAGGGTAAGACTCGGGAGAAGGAACATTTTCTTTCTGGGTTGTCGGTGGGGTAGTGCCAGTCCCTGTGGCTGGAATGCAGAGAAGGGCCCCAAAAGACACGTGGAGTTCAGGGTTCCAAGACATTGTTTATGGCAAATGTAGATAGTCTGGGTGTATCCCCCACTTAAGCCAGGGAAGAGCTGGCTTAAATAGGGAGGGGGAAGAGAGGAGGGTCACTTAATTAGCTGTGGCCTCTGGCCTTTAGGTAACTCATGAATATGGAAATCTCTTGAGGCTGAAGCCTGTAGTCACGCCCTCTCACTGTGTTAGGTGACACCTCTTTGGGAGGGGCTGCATAGTCAAATGTGACTGCAAGGCGCAGGTTAAATGGAGGTCTAGTGTCAGGAGCCTGGATTCCGGGGGCGTGGCCAAACACCTGCCGTTTCCCCATTGGGGTCGGGGCTCCAACCAAGATTTCCTTTCACTGCCGGACAGAGTAGGAAGGTCAGCTGGGTGCTCTCCCTGCCTCCTGAGTCTTCGTTTGGCAAATGGAATGTTAGGGACTTTTGTTTGTTAAATGAACAAGTGGCCGGGCAGTGGTGGCACACGCCTTTAATCCCAGCACTTGGGAGGCAGAGGCAGGCAGATTTCTGAGTTCAAGGCCAGCCTGGTCTACAGAGTGAGTTCCAGGACAGCCAGGGCTACACAAAAAAACCCTGTCTCAAAAAACCAAACCAAAAAAAAAACCAAAAAACAAAAAACCAAAAAAAAAAAAAAACCAAGTGGATGAATCCTTTGTCTTCTGTGAGGCCCAGCCTGGTGTCTGACAATGTTACTCTAAGGAACGTGTTAAAATGAAGCTAGACTGTTAACTGGACAACCAAGCCCCTTTGGACACTCGAAAATTGTCCTTTCAAGAGGGAAATGCAACTTCCCCCGCCCTCCCTTAGGTGATCTTTAACATATATCTGCCTTCAGATGTCACAGGCAGCTTGGTGGGTTTGTCACTTTGTCGTGTCAGCTTCTAAGCTCAGCAACTTTGTAAAGTGGGGCCAAGCACACCTGGGCTGCCTTTTTCACGGGTTAGTGTGGGGCTGAGAAGGCCGTGTGTGTGTGTGTGTGTGTGTGTGTGTGTGTGTGTGTGACACTGTGTTGGAAATGGACTGGAAAGTACGAATAAAAGGTTAGCCACACTTCCCTGACTTAAGTACAAGTCATGTTCTCTTCCTCTCACCAAGTCAGAGGAACCCCTGTGCTTAAGATGAGCAGCTAAATGCCTGAGGACACACCCACTGTTCAAATCTCTGTGGTTCTTTGTTCCTAGCTTTTAGAATTGACAGTGTCATTTCAGATCGGTGCCACTTGGCTCTTATTGAGCCCCCCTGTCAATAGGTGCGTTCGAACTGTTACCTGTGACCATGTCTGCGTCTTGCTTTCTACACAGGTTGTATGGCAGAGGTTACAAAGTGTTGATGGTCGAATTACAATCCCTGCATTTGTTAGCTGGAATATATATCTACAAAGAGACCATCAATTACTGGGTCACCTAGGAGTGTAGTCAGTTTGATTTTGGACTGTTTTACCCCACTCTGCTTTCGGCACTGCTGGGGATTAGACCTTATGGTGCGGGGCAATTGCTGCATCTCAATGGTATGTCCCCAGCCCTGTTTCACCTTTAACAAACAAACAAACAAACAAACAAACAAGTTTCCTCCCAACTGGTGATGGAGACTGAGCCCCTGTCCTAAAACAGCTCTAAAAACAGTTCTTAGCGTGTTTGAAGACACCTGTGTGGTGTTTTGTTTTGTTTTTATCTTTAAGAAATGGATCTTTACATTAATAAGGATTTTTTTTTCCAGTTTTCATTTCTTGGCATTGTAAGTAAAAATTTTCTTCGTTTTTTTCTGTCTAACACATCTCATGAACCTTTGTCTCTCTCAAATTCGTGGCCTCTTTTTCTTTAGTTGTATGCTCACATGTGTGTGCCTGCACACACACACACACACACTCCTATATATATAATTACAACCTGTTCAGTCCTTTTAGCATTACCTATGTGCCTGTGATTTCAGGGCTGAGCAGTTAGTATTGGAAACCACTAGGCTCTTCTCTGAGGAAGACCGCTTCCCCAACTCTCAGCATTCCTTAGGATTTTTTTTTTCTTCCCTCTTAGGTTTAAGATTTGAATCAACAGGGCCATTTCCCTCTCGACTCAGGATAGACTATGTAAATATTACCGGTTTCCCTTCTTGCTTCTGGCTAATTGTCTCTCCTTTGCTGGTGCCAGTTTCCCCTGCATCTCCCCTGCATTTCTCCTCTCTGCCTTACTTCCTGCTGTCTTCCACTAATCTACTTTTGTTCCATTCCTCTCCCCGACCCCTGACTTTCAGGGAGCTTGAACA